TCGTCCAGGTGAATGGCGACCCTTCAAGGTCGACCGATGCCAAGCCACAATTAAAGGTCGTTTGATTGAACTCTTCCATGTTTCGAACGTTCGGTGGCGTCCCCCCTAGATGCTCTGAGGCTTCTGAAATGATGTTAAAATCCCCAGCCACCATTCAGGGTCCTTGGCGGGAGCTCGCCAGCCTCTCCATGGCACCCCAAAGAGGCCGTCTAGCTACCCCCGTGGACCGAGCATAGATTGTCGAGAGAAAGAATAGACCAGAAGGAGAGGTGAGTTCCATATCTACCAATTGATCTGCGAATGTGCTAAATGTTAGATTGAGATTACAGTCCCATAAAACCCATATCTTACCGTCCACAAAGGAGGCTGCCGATGTACACCCTACAAACCGTTTCACAAAGTCTAACTGCCCTTCCTCCGACATAGGCTCCAACAAAATCAAAATTTTTGCACTAAAATCAAATTTCATCTTCTTTAAATATCGGAGCGAATCCATTTTTGACGCACCCCGTATATTCCATACCAAAAAATTAATTGGACCTAGCATTGGAATGAAGAGCATCGCTTTCGTGTGTCCCTACCAACCATATCTGCATTTGTGGGCCTGCTAAATCCCTCCGCCTCCTTGTTGTTGCCCCTCGAATCAATGAGCAGCACCTCCAGTGCTGAAATTGCAGTAGGATTCTGCCCACGTTGCTCCGGTCTGCTAGCCTGCTCCAACCGCCGCGTCAATTGTACCTGCATGGCGCGAAGGTCCTCAAACCGCAGTCCTTTAGCCGCCTCTCCACGCACCGAGCTAAGCGACACAGCTCCTCTCGGACGCAACTCCACCATCTCGTCACCTACCCCCTCAAGAACCCCAAAAGAATTGATGAGTTGCCCATGCAACGCCCTGGACCCATGGTCCCCCCCCAGCAGGCTGGAGCATCAATGCGCTTAATCCCCTTGTCTCTTCCTCCCCCACTCCAGCCGCGTCCATTGCTGCCATATCTGGCTCACTAGCATGACCCCCCTGATCCATCAAACCCGAAGTATGATCCTCCCCATCAACTCTATGATTGTCCAACCCTGTAGTCGCCATTGAATTTTGGGTAGCCACTGGAATAAGTGGTTGAGGTTTATTCAGAGACCCCAGGGGCGCAGACTTCACGTCCATCCCCACAACGTTCAAACTGGCCATCATCTGCTCCACCACAGGCTGTCGCGAGAGGCCAAGCCCTCCACCATCACCCTCCACCAAAGTATTCCCCCCAACAACTACATCCTGCGAGCAACCAGCCCTTGGCTGCTCCTCCTTCCTCTCAGCCTCACCTTGACGTGACCCAGCCTCAGGGACTCGCCTCTGTTTGTATATTTCCTTCTCCTTTCTACCGTCTGCCCTGGGCTGCCCTGCGATGGCTTGCCGTGCGGCAGGGTTCTTAACCCACAATCTTCCTCGTTATGGCCTTGATAGAAGCAATGGCTGCAGTATTTGGGAATGTTTTCTGGCACCAGAGCCTGCCAGAAACCCAGTTTGTCTCCAAAAGAAACCCACACCCTGTGCGGCAGCGCCCTCAGAAGGTTCACCTCCACACACACTCTTGCTGTGCTTGGTCTTCAGCCCAAAGCAGTTGCAAAATCCACGCACAACGGTCGACCCAAGCAGCCAGCGATCGCAAAGAGACAATCTTTCTGAAACAAGTGAACAGGTAGTTTCGGAAGAGCAAACCATACAGGTACCAACGGGGATTCGCAATCCACGTGGAAATCTATAGTCCACTTGAATACATGCATTGGAGCATCATGAATATACCAAATATTGCGGGACCAGATGCGATAGAAGTCTGCTTCGTTCATGAGCCGAATCAAAACATGTCGTCGATCCAACAGACCAATAGAGGCCGAATCTTTTAGATCCAAGGTGTGAAAGAATTTGCGTAAATCCTCCATGGGTGGTCGACCCTTGGAGAACTTGCCCACCAGTGCGAATTGGAAAGGAACTGCAACTCGTTCAATATCCGCCATTAGGAAGGTCATTGTCGGCTCCCCCTTGTGCATGGAGATGGCGGCTTGTACCTTTGGTTCAGAAGATGACATCGCAGCAAAGGACTTGGAGTGAAATCCGAGCGGCTGGGAGGAGGCCACCACAGCCGCGAAGGAAGGGCGACGCTCTTCCTGCCGAACACCATGAAGGGGCGCCCCCTCACCCGGGGGTGGGGGCTGCTCAGCCATGAAGGCCGGATACCCGGCGGCGCTAGATGGTAGTACGATCCCCCACAGAACCCTACTTGCATGCAAAAAACCTAATCAAGCACCCTTTGAATGGAAAATGTTTTTCTTTTTTAATATTTCATGATTGCTTTTGTTTGTTAATATTTCGTGTACGTACAATATTGTACAAATTTCTTTTTTACCTTTTTTAACCTCAAACTGCTGATGCACTGCACTAACAGATTAGTCGAATGTCGTTGCTGCTGTAGTTGTTGAACTATACTATAGGCCAGTAGCATACATATAGACCAGTTGAACTATACTCTACGTCCCATATATATATATATATTTTAAAAATTCGTCACTTTATTCAACCAAAGAAAAGGTTACATTCTGGGAGTATCACGTAAGGATCTAATCCTGCGAAATGAGGGAAAAGCAAGCTGATCTAAGCGATAGGCACCCCATATATATATATATATGTATATAAAATTTAAGTCCCAGCACATACATATATATATTGTATCTACACACACACACAGAGAGATTCATGTGTATGTAAGAATTATTAATGTGGATACATATAATAAGAAGTGAGTGCAGTCATCATCGGCGCCATCCTCATTCATGTATACTCTGTGTGTATAATGGCGGAGCCACCTCCTCTTCGCCTCCATCATCATCATCCATCCTTTCCCAGTACTCCTAACATCATCTACGACTTCATCACACAACCTGCTACAGAACCCAACCCCCATCATTTATTATCTAAAATTCACAATACAAGTAATATAAAATATTATTCTATTTATGATGTGTTTTCAAGGAACTTAAGAAGTGATTGTGTGTGAAAATACATTTATGTATGTGTAAATGTGTTTATATATGTGAAGAAAATTTTTTTTGTATATTAAAATATATGTGAAAAAAGTTTATATATTAAAATGTATTAATTAATATGTTGGGTTATATTTGGATCAAGGGTTTGAGATAATCCAATATGACCCAACCCAAAATCAACCCAATCTAAAGTTGGGCGGGTTGGGTATAACCCATTTAAGTGAAAATCCAATATTAACCCGCCCAAAACCTGCTTAACCCGTCCAATTGCCAGGTATATTAGTATGCTTCGGGGGGTGGGCGCGGGTCGGGTACCCGCCCCATTTACCATTTGGCTGACCCGACCCGTACCTTGCGGGTCAGCCATTTTTTGACTCTTACCCGTCCCGCATATCAGCGGGTACCCTATAATCGATACCCGCTAAGATAGGGTTGGGTCAACAGGTACCCGTCCCACCCCATTTATCATTTAATTTTAAAAAAAATGATTTATATCAATTTAATTTTATATTTTACACATTCATCTAGGATTTAAGAAATATTTTTTTTCTAATAAAAGGTTTCCCACCAAGAAACAAGCATGTGAAGAAAATGTAAGATAAAGGAAAAAAATTAAAAGAATTCGAAATCAATAAAAGTTTGAAATAAGTAGCACAATTTTTAATATATATGTTCCGCATTAATTAAACTTTTTTCTATAAAATATAAGATCATGGCCTCTACAAATGAATCTTGTAAATAAACTATAGCCTCTCATATTTGTAATGCAATTTGTTCAATAAAATTACTTATTTAGTTCTTATTATTTTCTAGTGTGTTTATAAAAATAAAATATATATATATGCGGGGCAGATCGGGTACCCGCGGGTTTTTAATTATGTGACCCTAACCCGCCCCGCATCTTAGTGGGTACCCGACCCTCTTTTGACCCGATCAAATAATAAAAATCGGATATCTTAATTTTCGGATCGGATCGGATATGACGGGTTTTCGGGTTAGCGGATAATTTTGTCCACCCCTAGTGGGCTCCTCTATGATCAAAATAGAAATTTGGTCTTTGCTTTCTACAAGGAGTTTGGAGAGACTGATGTGTTAATGGTTGAAACCTTGTCGTTATTGCATGGCCTTTGTATTATGTGGTAATCGAGAGTTTCATCACTTATTGGTGGAGATGGATTCAGAAAATCTAGTTCGTCTACTTCGGTTCGAGGTGGTAGCCAAAGGGCCTCTGTGCAACATTCTTCGTAGGATTCGATGCTTGCTATCGGATTCCGCTTCTATAGTGGTGCATGTGTATAGGGAGTCAAATAGTGTGGCAGACAAGATGGCAGGATTACGACTTCAACAGGACACTATTTTCTCCTCTTTTCAGTAACTCCCTTCGATAGTTAGATCTTTTTTAATTTTAGATAGGAGATGTTCGTTTGGGCACTCTGCAGTAGCTCTTTGCTCTTTGTTTTTGTATGTTTTCTGGGTTTTAAATAAATAAGGGGCTGGCATCCCTACCTGTGTACGGGGTTTTGCCAAAAAAAAAAAAAATAAATATAATTGGATTAAAAAATTGAGGGTCTCCTATCATCATGAATGCACATCCATTGAGGTTAATAGATACAAGCTTACAGATAAACTAAGTTAAAAGTTGATTCTCAAGTTCTTTTCGTACAAGCTACACAGCAGGCATTTGCACATCTCTGTGGCTCAGAGAGGCTAGAAATTTTTGTTACCCATTAACTAGATGTACATGTTATGATGCTCTCTTGGGACTCAACTGCTTAAACATGATCAAAAATGTATTCTTAATTACAACTGCAAGATAAAAAACTTAATAGACTGTCTTGAAAATTTGAAAAACTAGTTAAAAGCAAATTAGAATGGTTCAATTGAATTTGAAGAAAAGAAAAAGAAACAGGCCTGCACTCTCCACCATGCAAAGTTAAAAGCCAACATCAATGAGGATACTAGGAGATGCTCTAAAGGTAGCCACAAATGCCATATGAAACACCATCTTTACCAATTCTGATAACCACAACACAATCTCCTGACTTGTAGCTTTTAACTAAGGATGCCACTGCAAGTTCACTAATGAACAAAAGGGTAAGTCAATAAACAACACTAACATATGCAATAAAATAATTCCAGTAGTTACCTGAAGATTTGGCTTTCTTTAATCCTTCATTATCCCAAAAAAAAAAGAAAAAAGGAAACCATTTCCTTCTGGAGAACTTAAAATACAGAATGCAAAAGGCCAATACATTGCTATTAATCCCAAGAAAGGGCACAGAAGCTGTGTCTGCAATTGCTATTGCTCCCAAGAAAGAATACCTTCTAATGAACTGTTCTTATCTGGGAACTTCGATGTATTAACTTCGAGCACTATACCGCGTTGTTATCTATCAGCTCAAAATTGCACTCATCTCCTTCTTTCAGAGAATTCTCTTTCGCAAAAGTGGACCAACCTGTAGAAAGAAAAAAATATTTCCCACTTTCGGCTATGTTCACCTTCCATTCTCTTCCCTGAACCCGCAAGAAAGCGCTTTTTCCATTCCTCCAATGGTTTTCAACATTTTCAAAATCTCGTGGAAACTTCTGTACCGTGATCAGACATATAACCATGACATATCTGAATATTGTTCGATTATAACAAGTGACCCTATTGAACAGTAACAGGAAAGTTAAAACGAGTACCTATTGGGCTTTGATATCAACTATGCTCCTCAGGCAAACAAGATTGACAAAAATTCATTTACTAAGAAGTTAAGAAAGTGAAACTTCAAGTGATCAGGTGATTGTCGACTGACATCTCTGTTGTTGCAGAAATTTCTGAGAAAAGTCATCTGATTATACAATTGGCTATTTCTTAAAACTAGTCAATGAAAAGGAACCTAAGTACCTTCACCTCCAATCGTTTTCCATATGCTATAATTATGTTGAGCACATAGGTTCAATATACTTACCACATATTTGTTAGCATAAGTTTTTGTCAGTTGAACTTTAAAAAGATCAGAATTGTGTCTCGAGTTGTCCTGCACTTTGCCAGCTTGACTAATCTCTGAACATGAACCCCTTGTCCCGGAACGTAATGATCTTCCCATTTGCTTAGGACTATTGTTCGATTTGCCTGCATAATTTTCAACACACGAATTAAGTTGTGGTAAAACTTTTTCTTAAAATAGGATTACATGATTTCAGAAAAATTGATCAAGAATAGACTCTTCAATAACCACCATGGAGCTGTTCCACGGCATTGTCATTCCTATGCATTGCATTGTCTTTCCAAGTTGTGCAAGCAACTTTCTTTCTACAGCCGTGTTTGCCAAATATTTCAACGTAAAATGTTGAACAACCACTGTAGCAGAAAGTTAGAAAATCGTCATTCTCCAAGGAGTTATCTTCCACAAAATTTTGCCAACCCTCCTGAAAATAGAAACATTCTCCAACTTTGACGACTAAAATCAGCCAAGATCTTCCCTGGGGACCCTCAAGTATGAATGTCTGAGGTACATCTTTATCGAATTTCTTGACAAAGTCTGGCGGAATTTTCTAAAACAACAAGAACTCCAATTGTCAGTCAGTAAATTGCTAGAGAACTGTAGGGCACATACAACCAAAAAGCAACCTACTTTCTTCTTGGATGCTTGATTATACAATACCCTGAAAGCTGCTTTGTCATTAACTCGGGAAACAGGAATTATTATGTTGAATTGAGCGCTCATACCCTGTATCCGTGTCAACCAAAAAGAGGGTATTTTTTTCAAGTAGTACAAACACGACTTGGTTTTATTACTAGACGTAAATCTGTACACAAGTGCGTATTTTCAAAAATGACCAAGAATGTAATAATACAAGGATACAACTAATCTCACCTTGACTAAGAAAACCACAAAATAAATCTGGTAGTAGTCAAAGGGGACACATCACTGATTTATATGATTGTTAGCATTTAAATCTAGTTATATAAATCAATATATATGGTTATATAACAAAATGCAAGTGAGGATTAGAAGGGAAAATTTAACTTGGTATGTTCAAGGAGGGATCTTACCAATTGTTAAGAGCATAGTTGATCTCTATACACTTTGAAGAACTCAGGGATGTCATCAGAGTAAAGAACTTTGCTATTTTGTTCCATTTATTTGGTGTTTCCTTCAACTATAGACTTGGAAACAAAGGGGCAATTAGCTATAGAAAGTACACAGTGGCTGAATAGCTACGAACTTTAGTAGCAGCAACAAAATCAGACGCAAAGCACATTAGCAAAAGTTATAAGAGCCACATCAGACAAGAAGCATTCAAGCATACAAGCAAAAGGTGTTTTCTTCTCCAGCTTCAATTACAGAAGTTCATGACCGAAGAGGCGAAGACCATCAACACTGACAGAAATAACAAACAATGGGATCTGCTTAATTACAAACAGGAGAATTCCTTCTTTTTATGTATGTACCCTCATATACCTATGAGGCCGTTCATTTTTAGATTTTGACTAGAAGAAAATATGCCTCTTACCCAATTATGCTTTGCAAAATTGTAAATTATTGTGATGTTGAATTATTCAGGACAGTAAAATTAGGAGGCATATAATTAGCGAAAACCTTGTTGATTAAAAGAGTTTAGTGAAAGTTGCAATGCAGTGTCATTCAAAATACAACTGACCATAACAGGATGAAATTAGGAGCTACATAACTGGCCCATATACACTATGCTATAAGATATACTGGAACAAAAAATGTCCACCATTTAAAATGCAAAGGATACATATTGTCTAGATCCACAAACAAAGCAAATTGATTTTCACTATATATCCACATACATACAACAGACATTGAAATTACTCCAATCTTGAATCCCTGGACGATGCCAAAACAGAGTATTCCAATCATGATCATGCAGGGAAAAACAGTAGGCCTTCTTTCTTTCTCTAGATCTCTTTTTCCCATTGGTAAGCCAAAAAGTGGGACTTCGCGAGTGATCCACTTAGCAAAAAAGTGGGATTTCTCAGTTTTTTATATTCTACCTCAAAAACAAAATACGTCACTAATTACACAGTCACACAACGTGACAATAATTTATGCAAGTCCTTAAGCATATACCTAATTGATGGTTCAAAAAATTGTAAAACTTCTGGCACACCAGCTACAAAAATAGAGGAGTTATGGTCATTTTTTTCTTCCCACTTGTGAAGAAACTCAAAGCAGATGTGTTTTACTTAGCATCAAAAGTGACAAAAGACTACACTGAAAATAATCAAAAGGGATGAATCAGTAAAAAGTTTTACTTACAAGTTCAAAGTAATATTTTGTGCACCAATGTGTTGAATTATATCCTCCAAAGCTAGAATTGAAAAACATGCATCATTCTTGTGGCTTCAACATTCTCAACAGAGCATGGAACAAATGAGAATTAAACTCTACTGCTAAGTAGATTTAAAGTTTGATGTAAACAAAATAGCATACCTTACAAAATTAAAGATCGTTTCTTGAAACCTTGTATAATCAGTTGGATATGCCTGTCAATAAGGCAGTTGGAAAAAAGAATATAATTGGACTATAAATATTCATTTCCAACGAAACCTACTTCGACAAAAAAAAAAAGGAAAAGAAAGTGTAATCAATAGAGAAATTAAAGAAACCATTTTTTTCCTGCAACATTTCAAGCCATAGAAATTACAAAAATCATTTCTTGCGTTTTCGGAGTGTGATTTTAGATTTAGGACAGCTTGTAAAAGAAATCAAGAAAGACAGCCAATTCTGGAACTAGCAAACCAATAAGGTAACTTTTACAACCAAAAAGGATAATGGATAGAATAAAGTCATCTATTGCGTATTAATGCACATGTTCTCAATAGGTAAAGCAATGGTATATCATATAAGGGAAGACTGTTCGTATATCCTTGATCCTATAAAAGAAAATTATTCCAAGGGGAACCTAAAAATGACGCAAGTTTATCTAGTAAGATCAAGAAGGAACTCTTACATAACATGAGCAACGGACACTAAGAGCTGGAGAGACTTTAACCAGAAAAATAAAATAAACTAAATGAAAGTTTCAAAATAATTTTAAAAAAAGGGTTAATCACATTTTATCCCCCTAAAGAATACCCAATTTCTCAGTTTGCCCCCTAACCTTTAATTTTGCTCACTTAACCCCCTTTAGGACAAAATTGCCCTTGCATTATTTTGACCTTTTATTTACCTTGTTTTCCTTTCTTTTATTTTTTTTCTCTTTCTTCTTTATTTAATTCTTCCTCTTTCCCACAAAAATCTTCACCTTAATGATTGAAATTAAAAAAGAGGAATTGCAGAGATCTATCTTCTCCTTAAATGATTAAAAAAATATTCAAATTACTTTCCTAAAATGCAATTTTTTTAGCCTTTCAATTCTTTTAATTTTGGATTTTCCTCTTTCCTTTCTAGTTTCTCATTTTATTCCCAAGAAAATATCTTAAGATGAAATTGTGACTTGATTAATAATCATCAATTGAAATTTGTGACACGTGGCATCACACAAAAAATCAAAATTAGTTTTTGATGCTTTTTAAACCTTCACCCAGAAATATGCAATTACAAACTCAAAACAAAAATTTTCGTTGAAATGGAATTTCTATTGGGAAGGATGAAAGAGAGAAGAAAGAGAAAAAGAAATAAAAGAAAGGAAAACAATTTCATCTTATAATATTTTCTTGAGAATAAAATGAGAAACTAGAAAGGAAAGAGGAAAACCCAAAATTAAAAGAATTGAAAGACTAAAAAAATTGTATTTTAGGAAAGTGATTTGAATATTTTTTTAATCATTTAAGGAGAAGATAGATATCTGCAATTCCTCTTTTTTAATTTCAATCATTAAGGTGAAGATTTTTGTGGGAAAGAGAAAGAATTAAATAAAGAAGAAAGAAAAAAAGAAATAAAAGAAAGGAATATAAGGTAAATGAAAAGTCAAAATAATGCAAGGGCAATTTTGTCCTAAAGGGGGTTAAGTGAGCAAAATCAAAGATTATGAGGTAAACTGAGAAATGGGGTATTCTTTAAGGGGATAAAATGTGATTAACCCAAAAAAAAAAAATAACGGAAACATACCATTTCTCATATTGGCTGGTTTACAAAAAAAAAAAAAAAAAAATGATCCCTCAATTGAAATTTCAGGTTTTATAGTTGACATGATAGTATAGTAAATTGGTCAATGCTAAGCATTGCTTAAACCATTAACATTTTCTAGACTATCACAAATAGACATTCAACGCCACGAACAATGATACTAGATCTGCTGGCCCAGAATTGACAATATATTTTATAGTTCACATGATAGTACAATAAAGTTACTTCTATCTCAGATTTGACCCAAAGACTTAGCTGCAACAGAACTAACTATATACCCTCTTACATCAAATTTAGAGTATCTTTGGTTCAGGAGAAGCTGTTTTCCAAGTTTTGTGGCATTCCCTCACTTCTTTATCGAGAAAAATATGGAAGGCTATTTTACATCCTTTAGGTAGCTCATCCTTTACAAGGTGGCGGATACTCTGGCAAATGTTGGAGTAGCTCATTCTCACCTGGATATCAAATTGTATGAGCATTGGAATGAATGGCCACGACTGGCTCGTGAGAGAATTCGACTAGACTTTATTGGAATGCCTTCTATTAGGATCGTGAAATCATCCTAATTCTAGTAACAGAAATTGTTCAACTTTGTGCCCGTTGTATCTCTATTTATTATGAATAAAAGTGGGGGTGGCGTCCCTCCCCTTTGCTGGGTTAGCCAAAAAAAAAAAAAAACATCTTTTAGGTTCCAGACTTCTAGTAAGAATCTGCTTAAGTTGTTTCCACTCTTGCACTCTCGGCCCCTCAAAAGAAAAGGCGACTCAGCACTTTTCAGTTCGGAAATGTAATCAAACATTCAAGTCTTAGGTACAACAACCAGTGACTACCAACCCTATTATTCTTTTACTTTTAGCTATTTGTGAGGAACAAAGAAAATGTGAAAGAAAATAAATTTTTTTTTTTTTTACATGAGTGCATAAAGTGAGATATATAATATGTTATGGAGATAAAAGAATTTAATTTCAACGTATGGAGGTTTGCTTGCTTTTTTACCTGTGGATAAGCCTTTTGGTGTTCAAAATTAAAAACAAAAAAAGAAATCATCAGAAGCTTCGAAGACATCCAGAGTTCAAAGAAATATAAAAAGGAAAGAATGAAACAGTTAAATCAGATAAAAACTCCACTTACAAGTTTCTGCTGTCTTTTTCGTAGGTCACCCTTTTCCCTTGATTATAGCAAGATACAGGAGACGATCTAAAGAATTTAAAAAAGGAAAAAGGAAAAAGACAGAGACAAAAACAAAGACAGAGACAAATTGTTAAAAGATAAAGGCTAAACTAATTAGGAGAAAAGGACAGAAATAAAGAAAGGGGAAAAAAGAAAAAGAATAAAAATATAGGTAAAGCAATAATTAAAGGTCGACGATACACAGCTAATTTTATGATTTTTTTTTTTTAGAATTTGCATAGACATAAAATGCGCCTTTTCTATTAGTATTAACAAAATGTGTATTACTTTTCTAAATGTTGGGCTTAATTAATATTTATTTAGACATCCGAAAAGAATAAAATATGTGGTATGCACAAGTTTGAATTAATTGTGGTGGATCATATTATACTATAATGTTTTTACTGGTCGCATGTTGGTGCTATGCTATTCGTGTAACTAGGAGAAAATTTGACATTTTATTAAACAATAATTAATATTTTCATTGAAGTAATTCACTGTCATGTTTAACTAATTCAACAATGGAATTTCATATTTAATCCTTTGTATCCATTAGCAATAAAATTAGCATAGTAAAAGAATAAGTTACACGAAGTCAAAAGTTTGTGCTTTTCTTTATTCCGTTTGCATTATCTATATGAAATCCTAATGGAAACACATTTGCACAAAAGTTTTAAAAGTAGTATTTTAAAATTTTGTTTGATAGAAAAAGGATAATAATTTTTTAAAACATTATAATAACTAGAATTGTTAGTTATAAAAAAATACTGTCAAATATTTAAACTTGGGAATGGCCTGAACAGATAAAGAATGATAAAATCCACCTCAAGTATTTGGCTTACTCCAAGAGGAAACTGGAAAGGACTTCCATTTAGATTTTGAAGGGAAAATTTCACTATCAGAATTTTTATGTAGCCTTTACATTCATGTTAACTCGTTTCACCGTTGGTAATTGTGCTTACTTGTTCTCTTCAAATTTGATTTTCAAAGGTTCGTCATGGATACTAACAGATCCAAAATTCCTTTTGCAGCAGCAAGTTCGATTGGCAGTTGTAATCTACACAAGCGGTAACGAAATTCTCAATAGACAAATATATTTTAGCTGAATCTTGGTCAAGGACTTCACTTACCATTATTTGTCAAAACCCACAATTCAATTATCTTTTAAACACTTTTTTATACCAAGGAAGCAGTGAAAATTAAGCAATGGAGAGGGGATAGGGAGTTTAGAACCTAGAGTCTCTGTACTCTGGAATCTCAACCTTAACTATTACGTAATTCAATTATCATTATAAAGCGGATGTAAGAAAACCCTCCGACTTTAATAAAATTTGAATGCGTTAAAAGTCACAATCACACATATCTATTTGCCATCCATACAAATTCGATCAAGCACAAAAGAAAAGCAGGAACGTAAACCAAAAAAATCAGCAAGTTATCAAAATTGGTGCTAAAATATACCCCTTACAATTTCTTCTTGTCAAGAATTGCTTGTTGGCCAGTAAATATGATTTCCTCTTGCTTAGGTCACCTCATTCCCTACCCATGAAATAGTACTTAGAAGTGGTGAAAACGCAAAATATTCCAGGTACCAATCAATAACCGCACCCATTAAACAAGAAAACAAGATCGCAGACAAAGGCAGTCTTCAAAAAAAAAAAAAACAAAGAAAGAAAGAAAATTGGCAACACCAAAACAGCCCTTTATCCTACGAAAGTTTTAGCTATATCAAATTTCCGTACCCTAATCAAGTTAAACTAAAAAAGAGCTCTACCAACTCTAAGGTGTCAAACATGACTCGTTTCGCTGCCTAGCTAACCCTAAAATGATATCCTTTCTAACCTAAAATCAAGTAATAACTATCAATTCAAATATCCATGACGGGTTTTTGAGGTAAGTGCAAGTTTAATTCCGATTTTTATACCCATTTGTCTGCAAGTATACAGGTCAATTAAGTAGTATAGGGCATGTATCGGGTCGATCCCACGAAGAGCAAAATAATCAAGTACTAGGTCCTTATTTACTCTATTATTTAGACTAAAAATAAATTAGAGCAAAAATATTATAAATGCAATTGCCTACAATCTGATTAGATCAATGCAAGTTACAAATGGAGAAAATTCACAAAAGACTTGAATCTAAGGATGTAGATTCCACTTATGGCGCAAAAAATCCAAATGAATGAATTTAACACTTGTTACTCCTCTTGTTCAACCAGGGATTCATTTTCAAAATTGCCAAAATTTCATTCTCATGATAATATGGTCTAGAACAGCCTAATTTTCCCTAATCTCTTGGTGAAAAACTAAAACTGCTCTTATTTCATTCATGAAATGCAAATTTAATCCACTTGAGTGTATTTCTATTCTCATGAACTTACAACTCAAGCTCTACTGATGTTATTCCATTATTATTACCAATTCTCATTGAGTAATAACAATTAAAAACCTACTATTGGTGATGAAACAACAAGAAGTAATTAAACATGCACAAGTAAACAAGTTAATACAAAATATAACAAGTATAAATCACACTCAATTCATATCACTTGGCCATTTGTTTCATCTACTCCCTAGATATAGGAATTTAGTTGCTCATAAATGATATAGCAATTAAACTCATAACTTCATTAATGGAAAACCTCATAAGTTACAAGTACAAGAATGAGAAAGAAAGCTTAGCCAAGTTAATGGTGAAGCCCTCAAAATCTGCTATGACTGGCACTAGATGATTACAAAGATGAAGTCTCCAAGTGCTTTTGCAAATTCTGCTAGATAGAGAGAATGTCTACAAGAAATTGCTAGCTTCCGTATGTTTCTGGCCTCTCCTTTGTTGTTCTACATAAAAGCTGGTGAAAAGTTCCTTTCCACCATTCTAATGATTCTCAATTTTTTAAGAAAGTCAAAAGCAATGTTTTTGGCTTGACAATTAATCATATTGTCCTCCTTTTTGCATCAGAAGTATGTGCAACCGAATTCTTTTACCAAATATAGCTGGAAAGTAATGTGAAAAGAAAGAAAAAATGGCTGAGCCACTTGCAGAGGAGAGAGGAAAATCCGAGGCCTTGGATCCAAGGGGTATCCGAGCTCGGATCAACTGACCTCGGATTCGTTGCTCCAGAAGTTCAGTCGAGGGCTCGGATCTTTCTTTGGTGTGAATGGATCCGAGCTCGGAGCCATTGCACTTTGTTTTCATCTTCTCTTTTTTCTCCATCTTCGTTCCTTGTTTCCTTTGCTCATTTTTCATCACTAATATTTGCCTCTTCTTAATCATATGTGTGATGTTCATGCATCGATAACCTTCAAAATGTCACAAGTTTATGCATTAATCCATTCTTTTTTCAGGTTTCCATTATTCAAACAACACTTAAGCAATTTGTACCAAAAAGAATTCAAATATGGCTATAATCCTCTCAAAACATACCAAAAGTTCATGCCAAACCATACAAAATATACATTAAATATTCATTTATCAAATTCCCCCACACTTGAATCATCACTTCTCCTCAAGCAATTTGCACATAATTAGTTTCAATGATTCAAGAGGTGAAATAATATATATGCTTTTTCAAATTTAATTCCTCATGACTTAGAAACCAATCATTATGCCATTGTTCAAATTGCACTAAATACTCATAATATCACATAAAGGAAAGATAATTATACCCTAATTTAACAAATTAAACTTAATCTCTCATCCTAACCTAATTTTACAAATAAGCAAATCACATAGTCAATTTATAGCCTTCCTCCGCCTATAATCATCTTTTTCTCGAAATTTTACAACTAAGAGGGACTTATTCACATTGTTTTTACTTAAATAATGAAAATGCTTTTTTACGCGAAGATCGACACTTTTAGGTGAAAATGCCCGGTTACTCAACATTTCACTTATTTAAGTTGCTATGCATACTCTTAATTCAAGTACTTTTTTACGCGAATATCGGCATTTGTAGATGCCAACCCCCGATTACTTGGTACGAGAATTATTGGAGTAGAACAATTGTTATTATTATTATTATTTTTTAAATAAGACAATAACTAGATATTCCCTCATTGAAAATAAGAATAATTAAAGGAAGAGTATGGCTTCTTATTGACTATATCAATCACTTACTTATAAAATTAAGTAAAGAGGAGAAATCTTATTAAACATTTAAAATTATAGGCATTATTTTCCTCACTTTACCGAATATACTTTCTAAAATACAAAAATCCTAATTGTATAATAACCATTTCCAAGTCAAATGAGGATTAAACCTTCCAAAACATCTCTATAAGTTCCAACAATGGGAACAATTAGAACACTTTAAGGTTGGAACAATTGTGCCTTTTTAGAATAAAAGATGCAAAAAATTGAAGGATTTGGCCATAATGAAATAGTTGAAAAAATTTTGAGAACGAGTTCCCCTTATAAACTGAACAAAACTTCCTGCCAACAATCCCAATTTTCAAAATAAAAATTATCGCTGCATGGCAATTATTTCCAAATATAATCCAATATTTCTAAGCTACAATCAAATGAAAACATTTCTGGATGGTGCCCTCGACACTCCCTTAGGGTGGTATGTTGGGAATTGCCAGGTCAGGGGATGTGCAAGTTAAACACGGATGGCTGCTCACTGGGCAATCCGGGGAAGAATGGTGGGGATGGTGTACTTAGGGATTCATCTGGTGATATGGTATTTGGGTTCTCCATCCCCCTTAGGGAGTTAACAAGTTTGCAAGCGGAGGCCAAGTCGTTAATCTATGGCGTGTAGCAATGCGTGTTGCAGGGCTTCTCTAGGGTACAGGTGCAGGTGGATTCACTCCTATTAGCTAACATCCTTCGAGGCAAGTCGAAGTGTCCGTGGCTCATAAGGTCGGAAATTAACACAATCCAGGCAACTTGTGAGCTGGATTGGACAGTGGGACATTATTATCGAGAGGCAAACTAGGTGGCAGATGTGTTGGCTAAGGTAGGGGCAAGTGAGTCAGGTACTGTTATTTATACCTCACAATCGGAGTTACCAAGGCTTGCTAGAGGGGCATTGAGACTAGATAAAGCAGGAATTCCTGCCATTCGTGTTAGGGCTGTTCGCAAATAAACTCCTTTGTATTTATGTTGTTGGTTTCTAATAAAACAAGGGGGTGGCGTCCCTCCCCGTGTACGGGGTTAGCCAAATAAAAAAAAAGCCATAACGTAATCAAAACACAAAATAATCCCTCCCCCACACTTAAAATCACAATGTCCTCATTATGAAAGAAGGGAAAAGAAACTAGTACTCCCATATAAAGAAGTGTTGATGCAATTTTTTAGACCACGAACATCACGAACATCCAAATTCTGCTCAAACTGAAACAAAAGATACAGTGAAACATAAGTAGCACAAGTTTAACAAAGGGAATGAAGATTTCAGAGGTTCAAACTAAAATAAACAAAAGACTATAGAATCTCCAGTCATCAAAGAGGTCTTCAAGGCTGCGCAGAATAAGGATCAATGCTCTCATCGGCACCTTGTGGCCCATTGGATGTACCAATGTGGCCCTTCTCAGGGTTAGGAGTCGGAGTAGGCGAACGATGAAGGCGAAAGTGGTCCTTCAATGCTCGAAGACGTCGATCATGCCTCTTGAGTCATTCCATCATCCGTCGCTCATGCTAATCAATCCGCTCCATGACCCGTGTTTCCATAAAATAGATAGCATTGAGTACCTTTTGCCATTTAGATCTCGGAGGTAGTGGTGGTCGTGAAACTGGATTTGAGGTCGATGCTCCAGCATGTTCCAATCCTGGATCCTAATTACTTGGTTCTGGCTGAGGGTGAGGTGGAGGCTGAGTAGAAGTCGAAGCCTCCACAATAACGACATCTTGTACCAAAGAGGCTCCAAAGTCCGTAGGGATACCCAAGGACTTTAATAAAGAAACATTTACCTCATCAACTGCTTTGGTCTTGAGGGCTCTTTCTGCACCCAATGCAACCTCAAGCTTCTCAAATAAGAGAGAAAGGAAATGAGGAAATCCAAAGCAAGTCTCACCCGCTCTCATACAAGCTGTGGTACGCATATAGCTAATGATAATGCTGGTTAAAGGAATGCTCGTCAACTGTCGACCTATGCCATGCATCATTTTGTCCAAAAATTATAGGTCACTATTGCGTAATTCCCTTTTGCCGCTCTTCTTAGGTACCACATTAAAAGCAAAGAGATAGAAAATAAGATGGTACCTAGACTCTAATGAATCTGCATATACTATTTGCTTCTTCGAACTTCCTCTCTCACGGTATTGACCCTTAAGACGTGATACAGCTTCTCCTACATGCCATGGATCATGTGCCTTAAATTCTTTGGTCAATTTAACATCCTCCCCCGAATCCTTGATTTGGAAATATCTCTCAATTGTCCCGCGATGGATGGCAATCCGTTTTCCTCTAACCCAGGAGACAATTAGATTACCACTGTTGCCATGCTTTTCTTTCACATTGGCACAAAATTCCCGCACCAAATTGGGATAGTAATGCTTTGGCAAATTGAGTATATTCGCCCATCCAAGTCGCCCAAATGCTATGGAGATCTTATAATGGTCATCCACCTCCGGTGCCAAGTGCTTCTCAATGATAATTTCTTTGGCTAAACCGGCTTCATACCACTGTTGGTTTTCTAATGATGTAAAGCTCGTGGTATCATACTCCGGAGGTGGCTCCTCGTGGCTAGTGGATGCTCTCTTTTGTCGTGAGCAAGACGGCGACTCAGGTGAGGGAGATTCCTCCACTGGTGAGAGGGACTCCTCAGGCAATAAAGGAGTGTGTTCCTCACTCGAAGACAGCAAATGTGTGCGAATAATAGCCCTTCTTGTGCGAACCATGGTGCTTATATCAAGAACAAGATCAATACACATTAGAAGCAATCTAAACCCCTTGAAAATACATTTCAAAAAATGTTGGAAAGTAATTTGAGAAAATTTCGGCAGAGTTTCCCCTTGAAAAGGACTAAACCTCCTACCAAGAACACCAAATTCAAACAAATAATCCACTTAACCTTTCTCAAATCCAATTTTAACATCTAGAATGCACATTTCCAATTAGGATCTCATTAAGTGCAAGATAAATCCAATCACTGGAGAATTAAAACCATAATCAAGAAAAAACACATCCTCAATTTTAGTAATTCTCAATATCTAGCAATTGCACCCAATAAATACATACCAATTCGTTCCAATTATGAAATGAAATCCTTTAATTGGCCTAGAGATAATCTCTACTTCATAAAAACAAGTCCAACTTATCCAAAGAGGCAAGAAATTGCAAGCAAAAAGTACAAAGTGCTTTAGCCTAATAAATGAGAAAAATTATACAAAAATATCACCATATTCACAATTTCCTCAATTCTAAGCATACAAATAGTTCTAATGACATATATTAGCACAATGTAACACAATTATAGTAAAAAATTTCAGCATATATGCATTTCCCAAATATATAGAAAAAATAGAAAAAATTAAGAATTAGGAAATGTAGAATTTCAAAAAAAGTTGAAAATTCTTACATCAAATGTGTAGAGTGATGCTAGAGGATGATAAGGTTGCCAAAATTAGGAAGAAACAGTCCAAATTCGTCCTTAAATTGAAGAAATTCAGTCAGCCCCAATTTTTCTTGAAGGTGATTAAAATCCCTTTTTAATGTTGTTTTGATGAGAAATTATTGAGGGTAATGATCACAAGAGTTGAGGGGATGTTTTTATAGTGAAATATTGGAAGATTAATGGCTGAAATGGGAGATTAGAGAAAAAAGTTAGGGTTTTGATGAGGAAGAAGGAGAAAGGCTATGAAAAATGAGGAACCGAACCCTTACCTCCACAGCCCCAACCTCTACCACTCCCCTTTCCTAATCCTTCCTAGTCCCCTACCCTCTTTGCCATCTCCTCCCCTCACCTCTCTGCCACCCCTACCCTTTACCATTCCTCATCTGACCCCTATTTCACGTCCATATCCTCTTTTCATAGTGCTCCTCTCTTTACCCCAGTTCGCCTATCCCTCTTCGTTTAATTTCATCTCTACCCTTTCCCCGTCAATTCCCCTACCTCATTACGTCACTATGGGGTGGAGGAGGGGACACAGCAGAAGGGGTGGCACCGTGGCAGGGACATTTTTCTTTGTTTTAATTTTTTTTGCTAACTTTTTGAACAATTCTATCACTGAAGCCCTACTGATTATGTCACTTGAATCAATTTCAATCAGTCCTGATACCTGAATTTGACGAAGTGAGTGAAAAGTTACATCTTAAAGAGTTGAATGACCTTTTTGATTAAAAAAGTTATTGAGTGACCAGATTGTATAATTTTAAAAAGTTAAGTGACATTGACTTAGTTTACACTTTCTTATTTGCAAGTTGAAAAACTTTTTCCATTTTAAGAGTTCATCTAAAAACTTTATTTACTTGTCACTGCTATAACAAGATTAACTATGATAATAAAGATAAATTACTCAGCGTAAAATATTTGTTAAACAATAAATAAGAGTGCTCTTTCGTTTTGCCTTATTAATATTTTGAGGATGACTGCTGTCAAGAAAGCTCCTTATTGACATTTCCTAACATTTGCCTTATATACTTGTTCAGTTTGTGCTATATCTTGTCCTCTACAATCTCCTTGTGTTAGAGTCTTGCGTTGTATTTTTTATTCACTTAGTCAGGGGAAAAAAATATAAATGATAGGACAGGATATATGCTACCCTGCAATTTGACAACCATCCATCAAGTACATCTGTACAAATGTACACAATTAATATTAATAACAAGTAGACTCAACGAACCCTACAACAACCCCATCAAGTGACGAAGAACAAAACCCACAACATAGAATAAAAGAACAGAAGAACCATGACACCCTTATAACAAAGACAAGCATAGGCAAACAACATAGGGAAACAAGCATAAAATCTTTTATAACGTTTTCCTTCTGCATAAAGCCATCATAGTTTAAGTCGTCGACCCCGATTTAAAAGGCAGGGAGTATATGCATATTTTTTGAGCGAATTAGTTCATTATATGAAAATATTTTTGCCCTCCATACACCGTAGTGACATGGTATCACACAGAGTTAGACGATAAAGTATATGATAATATGATCTAAATACATAATATATAATGTAAACTTCTATATATTGCCCCGTTTGGTATCAAAATAGTTTACTAAGGAGAAATTTCTCTTTCCTCAGCAATTAAGTGTGTTTTGTAACCAAAAGTCAAAAACCATGAGGCAACTAATAATTAATATTAAATGTAAATATAGAGGGATCGCATATTGAAAACATATAGAGTGTCAGTTTTTTCATTAGAAAACTTTATTTGTACATTTGATCACATTAAATTAAACAAGTGATTGGCTTAATTTGGAGTATGCAAATGAAAACATTTTTAAGAGTAAAGGTTGTAAATTAAACTTTTTCCAATATAAGAGCAATTTCTGCGAACATCGTCAAAAAAGGTATGTATTGTGTTAAAGTAATAACATATTGTATGTGGAAACAAGTGATCAATATGGGTATATATTGTGGTAATTAATTAAATAGATTAAATGTGGAAACAAATATTAGATACCATCTGAATCTTTTGCCAGCTCCATTTTGCATCACTCTTTCCTTTATTAAACTTAAGAATCAATTTCTAAGAGGCAATACGTGTCATAGAATCTTTTTCTACAGCTCAATCTTACGTGTAATTGAAGAACTTCCAAGTTCAAAGAACCCTAATGCATGTAAAAAAAAAAAAAGGACAAGAAAAAACCAAGAAACCCCAACAAGAAAGACAGAAATTCAATGATTCAATGGGCAAGAGGAAGAGAGATATACCACAGCCTCATCTCCAGATGATTTGATCTTCAACGTGCACAAAAGACTCATATGGAGATTAAGGAATTTAATTTCAACGTGTGAAGGTTTGTTTACTGGTTTTACCTGTGCATTAGCCTTTTGGAGGTCAAAATTGAAAAGAAAAAAATAATTCATTAGAAACTTCGAAGACATCTAGAGTTCAAAGAAGTATAAAAAGGAAGAATGAAACCTTTAAATCAGATAAAAACTCCACTTAC